TACAAGTGGGAGAACCACGCTTTGTTCCCCCTAATCTTTTCTCTTTCCACTTCTCACCTCAACAGTTTCCTTCAAGTTGGCTCTGACTCACCATGGCCCCATGTGTTGGGGTACAACTGAGTTCTGTAGGGTTTCAATAGTGGATTTCTGGAAGGAGATCCCCAGGCCTTTGTTCCAAGGCCACCAACTGTCAATCTTTTGGTTACATACATACATACACATACACACACACACAAACCTATTACCATAAATTCAACTCCAACTCATAACAATCCTGTATAGAGTTTCTGAGGCTGTAAATCTTTACGGGAGCAGGAAGCCTCATCTTACTCTCATGGAGAGGGCTAGTGGGATTGAACTGTCAACTTTGTGGTTAGCAGTCCAGCGCATACCCTACAGCACCCCCAGGGATCCCTTTTTGGTTACCAGCTCAGCATATTAACCCCCAACTTGAAAAAGAACCCATCTTCTTTCTGAGCCATGTAACTTCCTTCAGAAGCTACACAAATCACCTTCCCTCGCCCAGCAAAATGACTCCATTCAATTCAATTCAATTCTCCACACTTGCAAAGTGTTTGAGGAAGCAATCTGTCTCAGCTGTTGTGTTTTTAACACAAGCCACGTTTACTAAATGGTAACCAAAAGTGTAAGGAACGTGGCCACAGTGCAACCCGGGCATCAGGGGCAGAATTTCCACACAACAGCCAGCCAAGAAACCAGGAAGTGGCGCACACTCTCCCCAGCAGGGAGCAGAGCCCCTTACACAGAAAGGAAGTGAAGACAGGGGGCCCCAAGGCTGTTCCCACAGGAAGACTGGTTGTAGAAAAACACCAGCATAGTCTGGGTGCCGAGAAATCAGAACTGAGAGATGTTCTAGAGGTTTCGACCACTAGGACAGCTCCCCTGGATGAGTATACAGCAGCTTTTGAACACATTCAGGGCTTTGGTCTTATTCATACTCAGGCACTGATGGTTCCACAGAAGAATTCATCTCTTCCCTGTGGGAGACCTGAGTTCAATTCCTGGCTAATGCACTTAACGTCTGCCAGTGAGTGGCTCATGTGGTGCTGTGTTGTTGAACAGGCTTCAGCGGGGCTCCCGGACTAAGACAGATAGGGAGAAAAGTCTGGCAACTCACTTCTGAGAATCCACCAATGCAACCCTACAGATCACAACGGTCCCATCCCCAGCAGTGATGGGGGTGACACAACTCAGTGGCCAACAACAAAATCTTTTCCAAGCCAGTATGTGGCCAACCAGTTTAGCCAACATGTTTGATCCTTGGTATTGAAAAACAGATTTTTTTTTAAAGTACATTTGCCCCTTTTGCTGTCGCCAAAAGTCTGATAACTCTGTAGTGATTTCTTATTACGGTAAAATACATAGAGACGGAACACAAGTAGTGAAGCTATCCCTCAATAATGGATCCAACGAAGGGACGGACATGTGTTCTCGGGAACAGGGTAGCTGAATGCTGGTCCTCATCGAGCCAAGTTGTTAATTAGTTCCATCACAATTGTGTTGTGTAACTCTCGCTTCTATATGTTAATCATCAAAGTAATGGTAATACAAATTGGAATACAGTTCCATGAGAGGAAAAGAAAACACTGCACTCCTCATTAAATCACAGATCTTACAATCTGATTTTTTAGTTCCAAAGATGACCTTATAAACTTGTTTTGTAATTGGGAAAAAAAAAAAAAAAGCTGATGGTCTGCATTGTAAACTTTAACCCAATTCACAAATTTAAAAATTTTAACAAAAAAGTCAGTACCAAGTGAGCTACTCTCCTTGGATGCAGTGGGATGTGGGAGCTCAGTACAGTGTGCTTAGAGCTGTAATCACACTTGTTCAGACAGAGAAACTGACACCCTGAGCGGCAGAGTCAAGAGTGGCACCTGAATCTTCTGACTTTCTCGTCCCCGTGATCCTACCAGAGGAACGGTACCATCACTGGGTCCCCTTCCCATGGCACTGCACAGAACTGAGCCTCTTCTCAGCCTTCCCAAGGACAGACTTCTGAAGACACATAGCTTGAGCTATAACCTGGAAAGTACACACAATCCCTTTGTCTTTCTGTGGTATGTCTACACTAGATACTCCCTTGGGCCTGATTTCTACAAATCATATCCAGGAGCATGTATCACAATGAGAAAACCTTTGGAGACCAGTGATTTTTACACCCAAAGCTAGTAACAGTGGATGCCAAGGGAGAATGCTCTGTGAAAGTAAGTGGAGGAAACTTTCCAATGCCAATCACCCAGCCCAGGAGATACGGCTGCTCTCAGAAGAAATTCCATGGGTCTTTGAATTTGGCTGTGGATATTGCATGATGGACAGAAAGAGTGAGTAACAAGCCTTTTGGGAGAAAAATGCTTTCATACTGATCCTTTTCCAGTTTGGTTCTTCACTCCCTTTCACAAAGAACAAAGCTAGTCTAATCACTCTGGAAAACAGTGTGGCATTTCCTCAGAAAGTTGGAAATAGAAATACCTTATGATCCAGCAATTCTTCTACTTGGTATATATCCACAAGAAATACGAGCCAGAATACGAGTAAATATATATATATATGCACACCAATGTTCACAGCAGCACTATTTACAATAGCAAAAAGATGCAAACAGCCTAAGTGCCCGTCCATGGAAGAATGGATAAACAAACTGTGGCACATACACACAATGGATTATTACGTTACTTTGAAGAATAACAAGGAAGCTGCAAGCCACCGCATAACATGGATGAACCTTGAGGACAGACATTACGCTGAGTGAAATTAGTCACAAAAGGACAAATTATTGCATAACATCATTATTATAAAAGCTTAAGAAAAAATACCCATACTAAAAGGCAAAAAAAAAAAAAAAAAATTGTTGGTTACCAGGGGTGGGAGGGAGGGGACAGCAGAGCACAGGGTAGGGGATAGACACATCACAGTTTGGGCACTGGGGAGGGCAATACACAGGAAGGGGGAGGGGAATGGAAGAACAAGGTAGATAGGGGAACACTTGAAAATCTTGAAATACATCTGCAGATTTCATAAAACACCCTACGTAGCACAGATCTACTCCGACACACACGGGATCACCATGAGCCACAGCCTAAATCTATAGGAAATTTAATGTGGTTGGAGCATTTATATTAAGTTATAGCAATTTTTAAAACTTCATTTATAATTATACATAATAAAGGAAAAAATACTGACTTTGAAGAGATTTCTGATTAAGGCTAGGGAATAAAAGAACATAATATTAAAAAAAAAAAAAAAAAGGCATTTCTCTAAACTACAAAACAAATGAATACAAAGAAAGAGCTTTAGGCAAATTGAAAATTTTCTAATATTTTACTTCTTACTATTGGAAATTTCTGCCTACCACCCCTAACTCAAGAAGCTATTTTCTTGGATGATTTAGGAAGCAATTTTTCCTTTAGGGATGGCATTCAATTTATGAACACAGCTTATGTTCTGCAGGTGAAGAAAATATTTTATACAGCATGATTCAGGGGTTAGAATGAATTATAATGGGTAGAGTTTGGTACCCTCACAGAATCATACCTGTGGTATTAAAGGGCTAGTTCCAAGTCACAAGAAAAAAATAACAGTTAAAACTCACCTGGTTTAGGTGCTGGAGGATCAACGCTGGACTACGAACCACAAAGGTCAGCGGTACAAACCCCCAGCTCTTCCCTGGAAACCCCGTACAGGGTCACTATGGGTCGGAATTAACTCCAAGGCACTTAACAACAACAAAGCTCACCTGCTGCTTAATTCTATCGAACCATCTCAAGGTTCACCTGGTCAACTTGAACTATGTTCTGGTGGGGAGGCTAGAGCTCTAGTTCAGAGACTCAGTGGAAATCTTGAATGGTTTTCAGACTAGGCCTTATGTTTTCTCCTCCCATGTCTTGTAGAAATAAGGCCCAGAGAGAGATGGAAATTTAGAAGCGTTAAAGTGCCTGGATTTCTGGTGTATCCACTTTAGAATGGGCCTCAGGTGTGTGTAAATTGAAGAACTGCAGCACCCTGAGCCCAATTCACAGTAAGCACAACAATGTTGTGGTTACTAAGGACAAGAGTTCAAGTTCAACATCTACATTTTGAAATAACTTTGATACATAGATTTTGGTTACACTTAATATCATTATTTGTTGTCTGTGGACCATCTATTATTCATCCCCAAAGACAAAAATTTAAGTGTGCTTTTAACGTGCAGATTCAGAATCTTTGTGTATGTACTTTGATGATTTTTATGAAAACCACTGTATAACTTTCTTTCTAGCATTACCCACTTATAGATCAATTTTTCAGCCATTAACTTTCAATAAAAAGTGAAGAGGAAAAGTAATAGTAGAATCCCCACCTTCTGGCTCTCATAATAGAAGCTGCCCTGGAAGCTGTAAGCTACCTATCCTCCCCCCTTCCCCCCCATCCGCCTCGCTATTTCTGTGATTTCCCAGAAACATATCTATAGGCCTTCTATTCCCCTTTCACTTAGTAATATCAGATCTACTGAACTTATTCATAGCTAAGTCAAACTTGGGAGATAAGATTATGATTGCATGCAGATTTAATGACATTTTAACAAGGAACAAAAGGCTAGAATAAATATAATAACAGTAGTTGTGGATTTCCATGTTTTAGCTGGTAAAAGGGAACGTTATAGTATAGTCTCACCAATATAAATATCCTTTGTTCACACAGGCAATGATGGCGAATGAAACTTCTCATGGATTTGATCAATAAGACTTTCAACCCTCACATTCTGATGACCTCAGATGTGATCTACACATTTCCTCCTGGCTGACAAAATAAATTTGTTATTTTCCTCTCAAAAAAAAAAAAGGAACAAAGCTCGTTGTTATGTTGAAAATATCCCATAAACATGTTTTGACTGTCATGGTAAACAAACAAAAGCTTTATTTATTTATTTTTCCCTTTCATTAAAAAACAAAAATGGGACATTGGAAACTGAGAGCTTAGATTCCTGGGTCTGACCAACATCAAGCAAAGTAACCCCAGAGGAAGACGGCACAGCTGATGCAGATAATGAGGTTGATGTCGAGAAGGGTTTTCACGAAGGGCTTTTCTTCCAAGGACGCTAGGGCAGGTTCCCCTTTGCTCGTGGGCTCTTCCTTGTCCTTGCCCGCCATTCCACAGAGCCACAAGATGGCTTTCACCACTTTGGACTGTTTTGGGGTCACATCACCTAAAAAGAACCACGCAAAGAAAGGTGATGGAAATGGGTCATTTCGCCTGTGGGAGTGTTCTGTGTGATAAGTACTTTCTGTACCTTCCTTGCCTAATTCTGAAAGATGGGTATTTTTTCAGGGTGTTTCACCATTTTCAGATGAAGAAATTGAGAGGCTTATAGGGTCAATGAACCTGAGCTGTTCACTACAGTTTACACACAGCCGGAAGAGAGTGGCAGAGGCGGACTTAGGAACTGCCTTGACCTGATTCTGCTGTGACACATTGCCCTCCTGGAAACTGAAAGGAAACGAGCACACGTGTAGGAAATGTTCTCCACTCAGAGATGGAGCAGCAAACTCAAATGTCTACAGAGCATGACAAATGTGTGTGTCATTGTTGATAAGTGTCGTCCAGTTGGTTCAACTCACAGCAACCCTGTTTCCAAGGAGTAGCTGATTGGTTTTAACTACTGATTTTGGAGTTGGTAGTAAAGGAGCTCTGATAGCGTAGTGGTTACAAATCGGACTGTGACCCTTAAGTCAGCAGTTCGAAACTACCAGCTGTTCTGTGGGAGAAAGATGAAGCTTTCTGCTCCCATAAAGATTTACAGCCTTGGAAACCCTGTACAGGGTCACTATGAGTCGGAACCGACTCCACGAGACATAACAACAAGTCTAATGCTTATCCTCCAGTGCTACACCAGGACCAAAAGTGGTGTCTAGGGGAACAGATTTGTATATTAAGCATATCAAAATAATCTTAGCCTCTCCCCATCCCCCAAAAATGCTGTCTTATTTTTATTTAATCACATAGTCTGTCCTTCAGTTTCCCACTTTAAGTTGACTTGAGTTCATGTCTACAATTACCAAACATGTACAAAGAAAGAAAGCAAGCTCTGACAACCTACAGCCTCCAAGTCCTGGCGACAATGGGGACTTATCGGGCCCCTGACTCACTGGCGGGCCTACCTCAGGTCTAAGGAACAGCTGCTTTGCGACTCCAGACAACTTTTACCACATAGACACATGATCTCAGTGTTGCCATCTATTCCCATTTTTCAAGTGAAGATGAAAATCTGGATTTTTACGTGAAATCGCCCAATCTTTAAATATTAACTGACATTGTATTCAAACAGTAGATGGGCAAAACCAAAGTACAACCGTAAGCTGCCAGCTTGAAACCATTAATGTAGAGAATACTAATGGCTCCAAGCTACTTTGTGAGATTGCATGAAGATTAAATGAACTGTATCTTAGTAAGCATCTAACAAATATTACAGTGCTGGTGTGGAGCAGTAGGGAAAGCACTGCACTGCTAACCACAAGGTCAGTGGTTCAAATCCATGAGCCACACCTCAGAAACCCTATGCAGGGTTGCTGTGAGTTGGAACTGACTCCAAAGCACTTAAAAACAACAACAACAACAAAACTATCTGCTACAGTTGCCCATTTGGAAGGAGCTCTGGTAGCATAGTGGTTACGAATCAGGATGCTAATCTCATGATCAGCAATTCGAAACTACCACAGGAGAAAGATGAGGCTTTCTGCTTCCGTAAAGATTTACAGCCTTGGAAAGCCTATGCAGGGTCACTATGAATCGGAACCAACTCCTCAGCACACCACCACCATTGCCCATTGGAGGCTTCTGTTGAAAGTTAGTAGAGAATTTCTTGGGGTATCTATTCCAAGTCCACCCCTTTTTCTGACCCACAATTTGATAGAAATATTTCCCCTGAACCACATAATGTGTCTTGAGGCTCTGACTGTAACCAAGGAGAGACACAACTCACAGCTGTGTGTTCTGGGCATGTTTTCTTGAACAGTCTCAAGCTGGATGCTGGTGCCGCTACCCTCCAGGGTCCCATTCCGAGGAAGGGTAGAAGGCAGAGGCGGTTCCTTCCGGGCCACAGGATCATGACGAGTAAACCAGGTCAGGCGACTGACCTGAGGAGCAGAGATGAAAAGTGAGGGAGAGGGGCTGCCACCCGTTTTTCCCATCTTCAGCCCCACCCCAGAACCAGCCTTCACATCTCCTCAGTCTCCTCTTCTCACCCCACCATCCAGCAAACTTCAGTTCCTTGCGTTCTTAGAAGTTAGGGTCATTTCTCCCATCCAATACTCTGCCTAATTTTGGGACCTAACCTTTCCTCATTCTAGTCTCTGGGCTTATCCTAAACCCTAGGGTATCATGGGATCTGAGGGTCGGCCATTTAGCTCATCCATTCCTCTGGATTGAATTGATGCACATAAGCATTTATCTTAAAACTGCCTTGATCAATGGGAAAAGAAGAAGAGAAGAAAAAAAGAACTTTACTAAAATGCTGGGACAAAAATGCTTCTGTTTTTGCTTAGTGAGAATAAGTACCAGTGTATTTCTAGAAGCCCAAGGATGGAATATGCATAGAAGAGACAGATGGACTCTGATGACCTGTTCAGAGGTTTGAATCAAACTGAAGGCAGACCAGTTGGCATGGAGTAGATTTTGACTCAGGAACACACTATATGTCCAGAGGGTTTGCAAAAGGCTGATTTTTCAGAAGTAGATTGGCCTTTTTTCTAAGGATCTGTTGAAGGTCTCAGACCTCCAACCTTTCAGTTAATAGCCAAATGCATTAAATATTTGCACTACCCAGAGTCTCTGTCCTATGTCAAACTGTCCCTAAATCTTAATCCTGGATTGTTTAGCTTTTTAAACAATTAATTCTTTTTGCTTAAGCCAGTCTAAATCAGTGCTCTGTCAGTTGCAACCGAGACAGTTGGAACACAAATGTAATCAGACACACGGTACCAGCTCCTTGGAGGGCGGCTCTGTGAACCAGCTCACGATGGACACAGTGAGCAAGGTGACCACAGACAGGATGATGGATAAGTAGAGGTAGTGGACATCCTTCACCACTGCTGGACGCTCATCTGTCTGGTCACACAGAGGCTGCACATAAATAAAGTCCAGGACCAGCCTAATCAAGCCTATGGCCAGGCCCACGATCAAGCCGGAGAAGGCACCCTGTGGATAAGAGCACAGCCGTCTCAGAGACGTCAAGCGTGAAAGGGCTGCCCGCTAGGGTCTCCTGAAACTTCCAGAAGTTGTCTCAAGAGTTTCTTTCTTGTGACAGTCACTGCTGGGACCACTGATCCTAGGAGTATTAAAATTGCTTATTTGCATATCTTTAACATACAATTAATCATTTACATATAATTTTCGCATTCCCTGTTAATTCTATTTCCCTGTTTACTGATGAAATGTATCAGAATACTTCAGAGAACACCCACTGCTTTTTATCAAAGGTCAAGTAACTGTGCTTCTAGTATCTTCTTCCACAAAACTTCCCCATCCCCACCAACGCCTGGGTCAAACCCATCCTCAGATCTCTTCTCTAGTACCCTTCAACTCCCATCCTTTCCTAACCCTCATGGGCTGAATTGGGAGGCAGTACTTGTGGGGGACTGATCAAGGGCTACCTTTTCATTGGTCCGCTTCCAGAAACATCCCATGATGAAGACCACTGCTACAGGCGGCTGCAGGTAGGAGCTGATGGACTGAATGTAAATGAAGAGTTGGCCCCCCTGGCTGGCCTGAACCACAGGGATCCACAGGATGGAGACCAGCACGAGCAGCAACACAAACACTCTGGTGCCAGTGAGAGAGAGTTCCCCCCATTAGTGCCATCATCTTCCCTGAGGCCACGTGCAAAGATGGCCTAGACACTCTGCTTTCATTTTTACAGCTTTATTAGGTATAAGTCATGTTCCATAGCAGTCACTTAGTTTGTGTTTGTTGTAATTAACAGCCACTGAATCAGGCCCTGACTCATGGCGACTCCACGCACTGCAGGACCGGACCATTATGATCCATTGGATTTTCTGACTGGAGTTGCCCACCTTCTGGCTGCTTTTGTTTTTTTCTTGGGGGGCGGGGAATTATTATTATTTTTTTATTATTTTGTTGATTACTGGGGGTATATGGGGTGGGGTGAGAGGAGGAAAGAGAAAGTGGAGCGCAGGGTAGGGAACAACCACAGGATAGTGGAGCACAAGGCAGGGAACAGGCACAGGACAGCTTGGGTGCCGGGGTTGGGGGCATACACTAGAAGGGGAAGGGAAAAGGAAAACAAGGTGAATGGGAGACTAGCTAGACAGGTTTACATGGGCTAAATAGGACAGAGGTAAATAATGATGTAAGCACAACCGTGGAACAACAGAGCTGGGGGATACAAGGATGGAGGCATGGTTTGAATGGGTAAAAGTGGGGAAATGATGTTAAGATGCTTGCCTGTCTTTTGAATCTTGGTTTCCCTTGCCTACTACTGTAAAATAGACACTTGAAGGGGAGAGAGAGGAATAGCCAGAAACATCACCATAGAAAGCTTTCAAGTCCATCTTTAGCCTACAACGGATTGGAATACCCAAAATGGGGCTAGAACTTGCCCAGTGAAGGAGGCTCCCAGCAGAGCCTTTGCACTGCGCAAGACCATAGGTGGAATCCTGATCCCCGTCCAGAATCTTCTGAGGTGGGACATCTCTACTTGAAAGGACAAGCAGACCAGTCTGGAGCACCAGCTTCTTCTCGTAAATCCCATAGAGCGTCGCTATGTATCAGAACTGATTGACGGCACTTAACAACAAAGTGTATTTTGGTGAATCCCCTTGTCATCTGACGTCGTCACTGTCCTAGTCATCAAGGCTGCATCATCTTCTTTTGAGTGATGGTTTTATTGGAGGCTTGCTTTTCCCATGATGGTGGGGTCTCTATGTGGCCACTCTACTGGGACCTGGCTTCCGAGCTGACCACTTCCGTGTCGGTAGGAAATCTGGCTGCTTTTGTTTTGAGGGAAGCATCACTAGGCTGTTTTCAGGGAAGTAGATCACCAGAATATTTTTCCTAGTCTGCCTCTGGAAAGCTCCACTACTGATTGGTAGGTGGCAGTTTGTACCTGAAGTGCATAGGCTGGGAATCAAACCCAGTGCCCTGCATGGAAAGTAGGAATCCCACCACTGTTCTCACTGTAAATATTGTTGATATTGCTAAGTGCCATCAAGTCACTTACGACTCATAGTGACCCTGTATAGGATTCCCAAGGTGAGTTTGAACTGCTGACCTTGTGGTTCAAACTGACCTTGTGGTCCAGGGCTTATCCTACAGCGCCACGCCAAAATTCCCACTGTAAGCATACAATTCAGTAATCTTCAACAGATTTATACATTTGGACAACCATCACTGCACTGCAGTTTTAGAACATCCATCATTCCAACGAGTTTTCTTGTATCAGTTTGCAGTTATTTCTACCCACCCCTTCCACACACACCCCGTCACCACAAGCAACCACAGATCTGGTTTCAGTCTCTATTTAAATGTTATCAGTTTATATAAATGGCATCATACAAGTGTGTAGTGTTTTGCCCATTGAAGCAAAAGCTTTCACTCAGCATAAGGGTTTTGAGGTTCACCCATGTCATAACATTGAATCCTGGTATGGCATTGGAGGATAAACACTCAACCTCAAGGTTCGTTTAAACTGCAAAGTCAGTGGTTCAAGCTCACCAGCTACTCCTCGAAAACTCCATACAGGGTCACTATGAGTGGGAACCAACTCAGCGGCATACAACAACAACAACAACATGTAATAGCTTAAACAAAACCATAGATGAATTGATGTATTTCAGTTATTGTGCTGGAGAAGAATATTAAAAGTACCATGGACTACCAGAAGAACAAACCAATCTGTGTTGAAAGAAGTACAACCAGAATGACCATTAGAAGTCAGGGTGGCTAGACTTTCTTTGTCTCTCATACTTTGGGTCTGCTATCAGGAGGGACCAGTTCCTGGAGGACATAATGCTTGGTAAGTGGAGGGTCAGGGAAAAAGATGAAGTCCTCCAAGGAGATAGATTTGCACAGTGGCCACAGCAATGACTCAAGTGTAACAATAGTTGTGAGGATTGCACAAGACCAGGCAATGTTTCATTCTGTTGTATGTAGAGTTGCTATGAGTCGGAACTGACTTTACAGCACCTAACAACAACAACAACAACATGTCTTAGCTTATATCAGTATTTCGTTCCTTTTCACTGTGGACAAGTCATCTACACATCATGTATCCTTCATTGGTTGATGGACATTTGAATTGTTTCTACTCTTTGACTATTGTGAATAACACTCTTCTGAGCATTTGCTTATAAGTCTTTGTTTGAGTGGACGTATGTTTTCATTTCTCTTGAATATATATCCAGTGCAATTTCTTCTGGTAGCGTAGTGGTTACGAATCGGGCTGCGAACCTTAAGGTCAGCGGTTCAAAACTACCAGTCACTCCGCGGAAGAAAGATGAGGCTTTCTACTCCCGTAAGGATTTACACCCTCGGAAACCCTGTACAGGGTCGCTATGAACCGACTCGAAGGCACTTAACAACAACAACAACAACGGTAAGATTGGACTCCTGGTGTGGCGCTATAGGACTAGTACTGGACTGAGAACCACAAGGTCGGCAGTTCAAACCCACCAACTGCTCCTCAGAAACCCTAGGGTCACTATGAGCCAGAACCAAATAGAAGGCACTTAACAACCACAACAATGGTAAGATTATATTTAACTTTTAAGCAACTAAACACCTACTTTCTGAAGTGATTGAGCCATTTTACATTTCCCTCAGCAGTGAATGAGATTTGCCATTTCTCTACATTGTCGTCTGCTTTTTTGATTACACCCATTCAAGTGACTATTGTACATCATTGTAGATTTAATTTGCTTTCCCTCATAACGAACGATGTTGAGCATCTTTTCTTGCACTTATGGCACTTAATACCTTCTTGGGTAAAATACCCAAATATTTAAATTTTTTTTGTCCTGCTTTGAACTTTAAGAGTTCTTCTTACACTCTCCATCACTCGTGTGTCAGTTTGTCGTGCTGTGGTAGTTTGCGTGTTGCTGTGATGCTGGAAGCTATGCCACTGGTGTTTTAAATGTCAGCAGGGTCGCCCACGGTGGACAGGTTTCAGCAGAACTTCCAGACTAAGACAGATTAGGAAGAAGGAGAGACAGACTACTTCTCAAGGGCTAGACACTGAAAACTTTATGGATCGCAGCAGAATGTTGTCTGAATATTACTGGAAGATAAGCCCCTCGGGTTGGAAGATGCTTGAAATCCAACTGGAGAAGGGATGCCTCTGCCAAGGTGTCTCTGTCACCGCTTCTCTAGGTAGAGCTCTCACACTTCACTCATGCTCTTCTGACATTTTGCTTGATGATGATTTCTGAATTCTGTTGGATCACCTTTCTTTGTAATGAGCACAAATATGGATGTCTTCCTTTCTGTCGGCCAGGTAGCTATCATAGGTGAGTGAGGACCTCAAAGCACTGCATCCTTTTCTTGAAACATCTCAATCGCTGCAGTCTTGTTCTTCACCAATGCCTTCAGTGCACCTTGGACTTCTTCCTTCAATACCATCAATTCTTGATCATATGCTACCTTCTGAAATGGTTCAATGTTGACCTATTCTTTTTGGTACTCTGTTACTGCCATCTTGTTTTGATGTTTTCTGTGCCATACAGTATCTTGCCATAGAATCCTTTAGTACTGTAACTCTAGACTTGAATGTTTTATTTAGTTATTTCAGCTTGCAAAAATCTAAGCACGTTCTTCCCTTTTGGTTTTCTCATTCCAGGTGTTTGTACATTTCATTATAATACTTTGTCTTCTCAAGATTCACCTTGAAATCTTATATTCAGTTCTTCTACGTTATCATTTCTTCCTTTTGTTTTAGCTACTGCATGTTCAAGAGCAATTTTCAGACTCTTTTGACATCCGTTTTGATCTTCCTTTCTTGTCTGTCTTTTTAATGAACTTTTGCTTTCTTCATGTATGATATCCTTGATGTTATCCCACAACTTGTCTGGTCTTCAGTCATTAGTGTTCAGTATGTCAAATCTATTCATGTGATGATCTCTAAATTCAGGTGGTATATACTCAAGGTTAATTTTCTTCATTTTCAACTAGAACTTGCATAAGAGCAATTGTTCTGTTCTCAGTCAGCCACTGTCCTAATTCTGATTGATGAGATTGAGCTTTTCCATGTCTCTTTCCCCAGATGTAGTTGATTTGATTCCTATACATTCCACCTATGACATCCACATGGATAGTTGCCACTTAAGTTGTTGAAAACAAATTATTTACAATGAATACATCATTGGTCTTGCAAACTTCTGTCATGTGATTTCTATTATCATTTCTGTCTCCAAGGCCATATTTCCAACTACTGGTCCTTCTTTGTTTCCAACTTTTAAATTCTATACACTAGCAATTTATCAATGCATCTTGATTGCATGTTGGTAAAAATCTTCAGTTTCTTCATCTTTGGCATTATTGATTGTTGTTGTTGTTGTTGTCAGGTGCCATCAAGTCGAAGCCGACTCATAGTGACCCCATGCACAGCAGAACGAAACAATGCTCGATCCTGGGCCAACCTCACCACCGCTGCCAC